AACAATAGCATAGCAGGTAGGGTGTTTGCCTTGCATGCAGCCGACTCACGTTCAATTCCCAGCATTCCATACTGTCTCCCGAGCACCGCCAGGAGTAATTCCTGAGTGCATGAGCCAGGAGTAACCCCTGTGCATCGCCGGGTTTGATCCAAAAAGGAAAAAAAAAAGTTAGGTACATGGGAGCCACGCCCACAAACCACCTCTGGCTCAGCTATACAAGCTCATTTATCAGCCTTATTTCAGAGAACCATAAATAAATCTCGAAAGAGATCAAAAGCCGCGATTAATCTCTGACCCAAGCATGGCTGAACAGACTGGGGTAAACTGCAGGGGGGCAGCAGCCATTTGCTTCCACAATCCAAAATCGCCACCAGACCCCAGCTTGACTCCATGGTCAAACCCCACCAAGGTATAATCTGCTGAAGATTCAGGTATGAGGGAAATCTCCAGGCTTTCTTGGGTTTGGATGGGCTACATCTCCCCACCTCCCTGTATTTCCAGAAGTCTCAGCAGTCAAATACGTACCCCAAAGCTGCCAGTTAAAAAGCTGCTCCAGCCTTACTGTTCCGATACAAATACTAAATGCCCTGAACAAACACCATGACCTCTTAGTACCTGTATTGCAAACCGTAATGCTCAAAAGGAAAAGGAGAGCTAGAAGGAAAGTGCCTTCCAGAGAGGGAGGTCGAGGGTGGCGGTGGGGGGTTGGGACGGTGGTAGGGAAATGGGACATTGGTAGTGGGAAATGTACACTGGTGGAAGGATGGGATCATTGTGTGACAAAAACCCAATTATAAACAGTTTTGCAATGGTCTATCTTACGAATATGCAATTAAAAAATTTAAAAACTAAAAAGCAATGTGGAGTTCATGCCCACTTTAATCAGCTTAATCAATGGCTGTATGGCAGTACTCCTCCATTAAAAAAAAAAATTAGTGAATTGGACCAGATAGTACAGGAATTATGACTCTTGCATGTAACTGACCTGAAATCAATCCCTGGCAGCCCATATAGTCACTACCTGGCAATGCTAGGAGGACCATATGTGGGGCCAGAGTGAGCTGAGCGCAGAGACAGAAGTGAGCCCTGAGCACTGCTGGGGGTGGCCCCAAAACCAATTAAAAAAGTAAAAGAAATAGATGTGAAGTCTTACTGTAAATGGAGGAGTTCCAGGCCAAACAAACAATTCACCCCTCTACATTGCCAAACATGCTTACTTGTTCTTTTTTGGCTGCCCTACCTGCTGTATTATCAGCCCCAGTGTAGCATTTTGAAGAACACTATTTTTTTTTTCAGTTTATTTTGGTCATGTGGTTTACAAGATTTTTATATTTTAGGGGTCCTGTTTTACGCCTTTTCAAATACGTTGCCACACCACACCTACCACCCGCCCCATCACAGTTCAACGGGCTCCCTCCCTCCTCTGAGCCCTCGCACCATTCCCTGCCTAGTAATCTCAGAATCCAAGAGTTTGTTTGCATTTTCATGTTGCCTTGACTGTCTCTCCCACGAGTGACATAACCCAATACTCATCTATCTCATTTCACTTAGTATGATACTCTTCAGTTTAATACTGTCAAAAAAGGCAAAACTTCACCTTCTACGAGCTAAGTAGAATTCTAGGTTACATACCTCATACTCCTCTGTGATGTCAGCTGTGGGTTGCAGCATATGTTCCTTTGATGCCTCTTTTGTCGAGTTTTTATAGATGTAAATGTATTCTTGTCAAATGTATTATCTGCATCTACTGATGTGATCTTAAGATTCTTATCTCTCCTTTTGTTGGTGTAGTAGATGACATTGATGGATTTGTCTATGTCGAACTATTTCTAGTATTATCACTGTCCTCCCGTTGTTCATCGATTTTCTTGAGTGGGCCCAGTAATGTCTCCATTTTTTGAGACTTTGTTGTTACTGTGTTTGGCACATGGGATACATCACAGGTAGCTTGCGAGGCTTTGCCATGCGGGCGAGATACTCTCGTAGCTTGCCAGGCTCTCTGAGAGGGGCAGAGGAATCGAACTCGGGTCGGCCATGTTGGCTGCATGCAAGGCAAACGCCCTACCCGCTGTGCTATTGCTCCAGCCCTATTCCTAGTATATATAAGATTATATATACCTAGTGCTGTTAGGTGCGGCAGAAGCCAGGAAAAGCATTTGCGATGCCCGCCTGTCCTTCGCCAACTACTAGACCAAGATGACTGCCCTCCAACGTCCTAATGGATCTATCGCATCTTCCAGAAGGGCAATGGAGATTATCCATAACTTCTACTCAGATCTCTTTGATAGCCACGTCCACCTGCTCACATACCAAATTCTGCAGGATGGATATGTCATTCCCAACATTCTCCCTTCCAAAATCCTACACGCCATTTCGTCAGTAAAGAAATGAACAGCACCTGGCCCAAACAAGGTCAGACCTGAACACCTGAAGAACCTGCCATCAGCACTCATCAATATGCTGGCTCGGCTCTTCACACGCTACCTGTCTGAATGCAAGGTTCAGTCCCAATGGAAAACCAGCAGGATTGTACTACTGTTCAAGAAGGGAGACATCCATGACATTCGCAACTATTGCCTGATCTGCCTATTGTCTGTCATCTACAAGTTGTTCACTCGAGTCATCCTAAATAGGATTGGCAGAACACTAGATGAAGGACAACCACGTGAGCAAGCCGGATTCCACAAAAGATTCAGCATGATTGACCATATCCACACGATAACCAAGCTCATTGAGGTTTCTCAGGAGTTCAAGATGCCACTGTCTTACGTTCATTGATTTAAAGAAGGCCTTTGATTCTGTTGAGACCGAAGCGGTCATCGAAGCTGTAGCCAATCAGGGCATTCAAACTCAATACATCAGAATCCTTGTGAGCTGTATTACGGATTCACTACCAGGATCTCACCATTCTATAAAGAAGTAATTATTGATGTCAAGAGAGGGGTTTGGCAGGGTGATACCATTTCACCGAATCTCTTCAGTGCCACCCTCAAGAGCATCATACAACGACTGAAATGGGAAGGAATGGGAGTGAAGGTAGATGGTCGGCGACTATACCACCTCCGCTTTGCTGATGACATCATTCTAATAACACCAAACATTAGCCAAGCGGCACAAATGCTGGCCGACTTCAGCTGTGAGTGTGGAAAGGTCGGACTACAGCTGAATCTCACGAAGACAATGTTTATGAGAAACAGTCTCATTCCTGACGTTCCATTCGCTCTCAATGGAAAGACCATCTCCAAATGCAACAGTTATGTGTACCTAGGTCGAGAAGTCAACATGACAAATAACCTGGTGCCTGAGTTGCGCAGGAGGAAGAGAGCAACTTGGAACGCCTTCAAGGGCATCGAAGAAACAGCTAAGAGGACGAAGAACCTCCGGCTCCGGGCACATCTCTTTGATTCCACTGTGCTTCCCGCATTAACATACGCCTCAGAGACCTGGGCCCTAAGAAAACAGGATGAGAACGCTATTCGGGTCTCCTAAAGAGGAATTGAAAGAGCTATGCTTGGAGTATCACGTTTCACTCAAATGAAAGAATCTGGAGTTCCAACCTCCATCGACAGTCAAGAATCAGGGACGCTGTCTCATTTGCCAAGGCATCAAAAATCAGATGGGCTGGAGACGTAATTAGATTTGGAGACGACCGCTGGACTAGAGCTGTTACTGACCGGATTCCATGGGACGTCAAAAGACCACATGGCCGCCCACCTACAAGATGGTCAGACTTCTTCGTCAAGACCCTGAACTATCGATTTGAGACTCTTCATGTTCCTAGAACGAACAGACGCCATTGGGCTACACTAGCACGCGATAGGGATGGAGACGTTACTGGCAGCAGCTCCAGCAAATTGGTGAGTAACGGGAAGTCAAGTGACCAAGTGATTCCTAGTATAAACCCCACTTGGTCGTGATATATGACTCTAAGTGCTAAATTCAGCTAAAATTTTGTGGGAGGTCTTTCCATCTGCCTTCATCAGGGACACTGGTCTAGTTGTCCCTTGTGTGTGCTGCCCCATCTGACTTCAATAGCAGGTAATACTGGCCTCATAAAATGTCTTTGGAAAACTCCCTTTTCTTCGGTTTTTGGGAAGAATTTGAGAATAAGTTATAGGTCATCTTTGAAAGCTTGGTAGAATTAACTAGATTATCCAATGTTGCGGTAAAAAAAAAGTTGAATAAATTTAATGTGTATGTCACTATCACTAAGCCCAATCTACATTCATTTTAAATCAACAATTTCTGTTCTCCAAGTAAAACATACTTCATGCAAGATTTTTAACTCATAACAAAAAAATAAAACCCCAAACAAGCAGATGAGGGGGAACGGCATAAACTAGATTCTATTTTATACTGTCCCTTTCTATTATGGAGAAATAGAGTAAGGATTTAATATAATGCAACTAAAGAAAATGTTTCCAACATTTTAGTAATCTCTTATACGGTCACTGGCTCCATGGTGAGATACAACAATCTTCACTAACTTTCTTCTAAAGAAATATTTTCTGATCACTCTTTTTGCAAACTATAACAAGCAACATAAAATAAATTATTGAGGGCGTGCCATGGGGGTAGGCTTAAGGGGTGGTTGGGAAAATTGGATATAATAGGAAGGTGCAATAGTGGTGGAACTGGTGTTGGAATATTGAATGTAACAATTCATCATGAATGACTTTGTAAAACATAAATGACGAAAAAAAAAGAGGAAAATGTTTCCTCTTAATATAAATTAAAATTTTCTACCAAATTTTACTCATAAGAAATGATTCTATTCACAATACCCTTCCAACAACTCTCTAAATCACACTAAAATGCCTAAAGAAGGATTTGTTTTTATTTTTAATTTATTGAATCACCATGAGATAGTTACAAGCTTTCATGTTTGGGTTACAATCCCACAATGATCAAACACCCATCCCTCCACCAGTGCACATTCCCCACCACCAATATCCCCAGTATATCCCCTTTCCCCCCCCACCCCCACCTCCATGGCAGACATGATTCCCCATAATCTTTCTCTACTTTGGGGCATTATGGTTTGCAATACAGACCTTGAGAGGTTATCATGTTTGATCCTTTATCTACTTTCTGCACATATCTCCCATCCTGACCAATTCCTCTATCTTTTTCTTAGCGATCCCTTCTCTATTCCAGCTGCCTTCTTCCCTTTGTTCATGAGGCAGGCTTCCAGCTATGGAGCAATCTATCTGTCCCGTGTATCTACTATCCTTAGGTGTCAGCCTCATATTATGTTGTTTTATACTCCACAAATGAGTACAGTTGAAAGGATTTATTTTTAAATGGTTTCTAAAACGAAAAAATGTGACTCTTGGGATGACAAAACTTCACTGAGGAGAATGTGCAAACCTCGAGGATGAGAGGCCTGGAAATTTAGTTATTTTCTTTGAAGTCAATTTTTTTAGCAGAGACTTGTTTCCATACTATATATATTTTTAAAAAAACCATTTACTTGCCAACTGGTAGCAAGACAAGGCTATCAAGAGGAAGTATTATTTCGAGAAAAAAATTGCCCCATGATTAATCACTTTTTGTGGGGGAGAGGGTGAAAAAACAGTAACAACAACTTTTGCTAAAAGAAGGCAGAAAGAATGAAAACATAACCTCTTTTTATCTTTCTTCTCACTTTAATTGAAGGTTGGAAGACACTGCACAATAAAGTCCACAGAGAACTGCATGCTTTTGTGAATAAAAGACCTTTGTTGAAACATCTAACGAAATGAAATAAGGTCATTCAAGCATTTTTGTCAGTACACAACCATCTACAACTACATTCTATCTAGATTTATGTTTCCTGCCTTTTCCTAGCATAAAGTAATTCTTCCCGGGATCCCAGTCACTGAAGGACCCCAAGCCCTGTGCTCAGAAGCAACCCAGACCCACACTTCAGTAAGATTCACAGTCTAAGCTTAGTTTAAAGGTTTGACAACAAGAACAAACACCAAATTGTAGAGACCAGAGAGATAATTGCTTCTGTGATATCATGACTCATCCACTAAAGCCACCTACCACTGAAATTTCTATACTTGGGTCTACTGGTATAATGACTTTACTCTTAATGTTTTTTAGGGCATCACAGCTTTGAAAAATTAAGTAACACATTTCCAGCATTCCATTCCATCACTTTCAAAATCTGTAATGTACAGCTGCATCTTTACATTAATATACAATTCATTACATAAGTATTTTGTCATATATTAGCTCTTAGCTTCAGAACACAGAAAACTACACAGGACAAAACACCAAAGCACTTTTGAATATCCCTTTTCCCCAGTCATAAGCACGTGGCACTTTATTTTTAAGAGACAGTGATGAAAAATCAGAAAGTCTGCATCCAGTATTTGACTTCCATCTTTGATCTTTATCGTCTTCTGGTACCACCATACCCTAGAATGAGAAGAGTAAAGTTTGTATATTTTTTTAAAATATGTTAAAGATTTCTCATAAAATTACCAGTCATCTGTGTCCACTGTTGGCATGGGGGTAAGAAAACGGTAAGGAGATTAAGGGCCATTTAAGTGGACCAGGACTACTCAAGACAAAGAGCATCATTTATCCACAAGAGCCTCCCCCAAATCTAACCCTCACCCAGCCTACTAAAGTCTCAGATACCTGCTGTGAAAGAGCTGGGAGAGAACTAACCATGCTACAGGTAATACTCAATCTACGGGAAAAAAGCAGAGACCCACAGAGCCTCCACCATGCCTACTGCTCACTAACGCCTCAGTTTATAAGTAGAAGTGATGTGGGCTGGACTTCCAACAGCAAATGTTAGTGAGCAAACACACACGATACACACACGCTAACAGAGAACAAGTGCTCCCACCTGGAAAGTCTCATTTTTGTCTCATTTTCCCTTAGATTATTTCATAATGCTTCACAATTTTACTTGACATCTGACTTATTGTATCACTGTTAGATACACTATTTATGATTTTTTAATACTCCATTTCCACGAGTGCGGTTTCTTCTGACCAACGTTACGCCCTGCGTTGTCATATTCTTAATAAATCCTCCCACTCTCTCTTCTCCCTGAAAGCAACCACTACTGGAATATCATTTAACACCAATAGGTTACTTCTGCTGGCTTGTTTTCAAATATGCAGATTCTAAAATACTAATACCATACTGCACATATGCTGTATCTCACTTTCTTTGCATTTGGTAAACACCATTGCATACGACTGTTTATTCATTCTCATTGCTGGGCAATATCTCACAGTATGAATCTACTCAGTCCACTGATACATTTTACTGCTGACGAGTAAGTGGGTTTCTTCCAGTTGGAATCTAATCTCATCTAATTCCTGAGTGTGGAGCTAGAAGTAACCCCTGTGCATCGTCGGGTGTGACCCCGAAAGCAAAAAAAGAAAGTTCAGGGAGTGTGTGAGGAGCACTACAGCAGGTAAGGTGCTTACCTTGAACCCAGCTTTGATCCCCATTTAATCCCCAGTGGCACATATGGTCCCCCAAGCCCTGCTAAGATGCCTAAGTGCAGTGCCCGGAGTAAGCCCTGGGCACAGTTCGGAGTAGCCCAAAAATCAGAAAAAGTAGGATGTTCAGAAGTAAAAACAAATACTAAATCTGAATTATATTATAACGTGGTATTCACGCTATTAATATTTCTAGGGGTTGGAATAATATTTCTAGGTTGAAATATTAATATTTCAAACACAACCAAGACTGCTAAATATGCAATCATCTTCAGTTCACAAACTACTTCTGTTCTCTCCTACTTTGTAATAGGAACTCCCACCCCTCCACTCTTACCCGATGCTGTTCTGGTTCTGGTCTCTGAGTGTGAATATGAGCCACCTGAGCCTGCTCCAGGTGGCGAGTACGCCCGGCTATTCCATGAGCCCAGGGGAGGATTGGACGGGTAGTACCAGGAGTCTGAAAAGGGCGTTGCGGCTCTGTAAAACAAGAAACCATATCAGGCATTCTGCTGGCGACTGTTATTCTCTCCCTGCCCTGAACAACCAGAAACATACTTTTTTTTTCTGACCAGGAACATCTCTATTGGGTGTTTTTTCCCAGTGTGCAGGTACATGAAGGTTAATTCATGTTTCATGTTCCTGATACTGGTAAGGCCTTTGCCACATAGGAAGAAAGAAATAAAGGCTCTTTCTTTCGGAATTCACATTCAAATAAAGCCACAAAGTATCAATAATCCCAAAGACACTGCGAACTCTGACCCCAAACTCTTTGCAATCTTGCTTCATCCCTCTTCTAGTAAGCAAGATGCTATTCCCCAAATGGGAGCTTTCGCATTTTTCCAATGTCTGGTGACTAGTCTTTTCCCAAATCTCATTGACAGCCACAATAGCCGGTGCAGAAAGCCAAAGTACAATGAATACATGCAACAGTGATGCCTAGAGACTCTTGACCTTATAGGGTGTTGTCCCCGTAACTTATTCTCCTTAACAAAACCAATGTCAGTCAAACTGTAAGCGAAAGAACCATTTAAGGAAAACATGGAATGAAAGAGAGAGATGAAGGCCAAAGCTACCTATTGCTTCCAAACAAATATCCTAATAATCCTCCAGTTCCCAAGCCAGTCCAGAATCCTGGTCCTGAATTGCTGTATCCCTGCTGGCCCGTGAAAGCACTGCCAAAACCGTAAGGTGGAGCCTGCGGCCCTAGAAAGAAAAACAATTTGAGAGTTATTGGGTGTTCTCACACAAAGCTTCGCAGACAAAAGCAAGACAGCAAAACATTCCAGTCATTTCATCTGCACTCATTACTAACAGTGCTCAGGCCAGCAACGCAGGAAAGCCCTCGGTGGCAAAACACATGCCTCCCCTGTGAGCAGCCCTGCTCACTGGCATCACAAAACCCCGCCACACTCATCCTCATCCTCATTCTCATTAGAATTCGATTTAAAAATAAGTTGAAAGAGGTCAAAGTGCCAATGAGCATGTAGGGTATTTGCCTTGTAAGCAGCTGACATGGGTACCTGGGTTCAATCCCTGGTATCCCATATCACCCCCTCCCACCTCAACCCTCCCCCCACCAGCTCTGCCAGGAGTGATCCCTGTACTTGGGGCCAAAAATAAGAACTGAACACTGCTGGGTATGGGCCAAAACAAACAGCAACAAAACTGCCTATCCCAACTGATGAAAAATATCTTCCTACGCTTTCGTCAGAAAGTGTTAATGATCTCCTCCCCTCCCCTCCCCCCCCCTCTGCTCCTGACTGTTCAGTGGTGGCCCACTGTTTTATTCTTTAGGTTGACATCTATTAATACATTCTGAGTAAATTTTGTGGATCGCATGAGAAAGAGTTCAAGGCGCATGGGAATGACCAAATTTCATTTACAATCTAATCAGGCAGCCTTACACAGTCTTCATAATTATCTTTACAGAGAATCAGAAGAGGTCAAAGTTGAAAATAAAAAATAGGGGCTGGAGTGATGGCACAGCTGGTAGGGTGTTTGCCTTGCACGCAGCCAACCCGGGTTCGATTCCCAGCATCCCATATGATCCCCCAAGCACCGCCAGGAGTAATACCGGAGTGCATGAGCCAGGAGAACCAGGAGTAACCCCTGTGCATTGCCGGGTGTGACCCAAAAAGCAAAAATTTTTAGAAAAAAAAAGAAAAAAAGTGAAAAAGAAGCCCACTCTGCTTTCGTCTCCCAATGCAACTATTTCCTTTTCCAGAAAGTAGCAACTAACGTCCCTCCTACTCTCTGCATGGTCTAGGGAAACACACCTGTGAACTCGGACTTAAAGCCTGCAGGAGCAGGGCCGGCTGAGCTGGTGAATCTCTGGAAACGGTGGGAATACGGAGGATGCTCAGAGTACGGCGGAGGAGGGTCTTGACTGTCGCTTAGGAACAACCTATAAACGCCATAGGCAATAGCAAGCAACACCACCACAGTAATCAGCCCACTGACCCCACTGGAACCTGGGGAGGACAACTTATTATAATAATTGGAGAAAGAGCTAAAGCCGTAGCCTTTCCCAGACTCTCTCATTTTCTTCATGCCATGTTCTGTGTAATCCAACTGGTACTCCAGGCCACAGGAACCTCTCAGGACATACTGGTCTTCAGCGGACTCGTAGCCCTCACAGCTCACCACGGTTTTTCCAAATTTGTAAGCAATGTCGAGATCAGTCTTACATTCCCACTGTTGGAGAGGAGGAGAAACAGGCTATTAGAATCAACAGACTTTTTTCCATTTGATACGTATCAGTTGAGTCATTAGAGTTGTCACGAAACTGCAAAATAAAGTACGAGACCATCAGATAAAAATTCAGAACAATGAGCAGTTTGTTCTATATGGGGGAAGCAAATCATGACCTTTAAAGATGTTGATGATATTAATGTTGTGTTTCTGAATCTAGGCTGGTATTATAAGGGTTCATTTTATCCCTACTCCTTTCATAAACAAGTACATGTTGCATGCAATATTTCATAATATACATATGTATACACACACACACATACACACACACACACACACACACACTTAGTTTGAGGGTAGTTTTTTGGTGTTTTTTTTTTTTTGAGGGTGGGGAGTGAGTCTTATCTGGTGGTGCTCAGGGACTATTCCCAACCCTTGGAGGGGCCTGGGCAGCCCGATGTGGCTCCAGGCATTAAGAGCAGGGTTGGTGGGATGCAAAGCAAGAGCCTTAATTCCTCTACCACCACTCCAGCTCCCATAATCTATAATTTGTAGCAGGTTTTTCTTTTTCTTTTTTTTTTTTGGCTTTTTGGGTCACACCCAGCGATGTGCAGGGGTTACTCCTGGCTCTGCACTCAGGTATTACTCCTGGCAGGGGACATATGGAATGCTGGGAATCGATGCTGGATGTCGGCCACACACCACCCGCTGTGCTATCGTGTCACGCCAGCCCCTGTAGCCAATTTTCCTAATGTCAGTTTGACCACTGTCAATTTTCCCACCTGGAAGGATACTAGTTTGTTGGCACCTACATATATTCCATGATTGTTTTATCTTATCTACTAGACAGAGATTTCGATGCCATATTATTTGTTTTTATATACCATTTCATATGTTTAATGAATGATTTCACCATCAATATCTTTTTCTATCAAAATTAAACATGTGCGCTGGAGCAATAGTGCAGTGGATAGGGCGTTTGCCTGGCACGTGGCCAACATCCAGCATCGATTCCCAGCATCCCGTATGGTCCCCTGAGCACTGCCAGGGGTAATTCCTGAGTGCAGAGCCAGGAGTAACCCCTGTGCATCGCTGGGTGTGACCCAAAAAAGAAGAAAAAAAAAAACCAAAAAAAACTAAACATGTATTTTCAAAGTGGGAGACTCCTACTCCTAACCTGAAGATTCTATAATTCAATGAACAACACTGAGATGGGGTAGCAGAAAGAAAATAGTGTCAAAATAGTTATCAACTCAGTAACCACGACCTCTCTCAGAATTTCACCGACTATGTATACGGGTTAGTCAACAGGAACACTCTTCAGATGGGAGAAGAAATCAGCAGCACAAGGTTTTTGCCTAGTAACTAGCTACTTAAATCATCTTTTAAAAAATACTAAATAAAAATAGTTTGGCAGTCATTTAAACTGAATTCATTTAATAAAATTTATTTCATTTCCAAAGCAAAATAAATTCTGGAGTTTCGAGAGGTATTTTGCCCTAAGTTTGAAATGTTAGTCCCAAATATACCAAGCTCACTGAAATGCCCTCATCAGAAGTAAATCTTCAGTTGTAAAATAGTATTTGGGGGATTTGTTTTTGTTTTATTTTGCAGAGCCAATGCTTAAACATTATAAAGTGTCAGGGGCCTGATCAACAGAACAGCTGATAGGGCTGACTAACACACGGTCAACCCAGGTTCAATCCTAGGCCACCCCCTGTGGCCCCCACATAATACCCGTGGGGAGTAATTCCTGAGCACAGAGCCAGGAGTAAATCCTGAACACCACCGGTTTGGCCAAAATCATTTTTCCAATCAAGTCAAGTGTCCAAAGATCAACGGGACTCTCCAGACCTCGTTCCGAGCCAATTCCACCCAGGCACTTCAGATGGAGCAGGGGCGCTCTCCCTGCCCGCAGCAGATGCAACTCCGGCGACCACGAGGTCCCAGAAGCAAGGCCCAGGTATGTGGGTTCCAGGATTAAGACTCCAGGCCGCACAGCAGCAGCAAAGGAGTTGGGCCTACCCTCCCCCGTTCCTCGCCCACTTGGGGTCCTGGCTGTCACATCCACAATCTGCCTCCAGGTGCCATCTCAGCGCACCAGAGGCCCTGGTCCAGAGACTCCCGACTGAATCCCAAGATGGATTAGCGCCCTCCAGAGCGGTCTCTGGACCCCAACCATTTACACTTTTAGAATTCCAGAAGTGAGCGGCTGCAAAAGCTCCCACGATATTCAAAGTCAGCAACAGAAAATAAATTATCTAGCGCCTGTCCCTGGCAGGCAGACCTGAATAGCAGAGGGGAAATTCTGGCAAACTATAACGTCCAAAAGTAGAGAGACAGTATGGAGGAAACTGTCTTCCATAGAGGCAGGGGGAGGACTGGGATGGGGGGAGGGAATACTGGGGACATCGGTGGCGGAAAATGTATGCTGGTGGAGGGATGGGTGTCCAATCATTGTACAGCTGAAGCTCAAACATGAAAGCTTTGTACCTGGATCTCACAGTGATTCTATCACTATCATTATCACCCCGTTGTTCATTGATTTGCTCAGGCGGGCGCCAGTAACGTCTCCATTCATCCCTGTCACATGCCAGTGTAGCCCGATGGCATACTGGGGTATCTTTCAGGGTCAGGGGAATGAGAACCATCATTGTTAGTGTTTTTGGCATATCGAGTACGCCATGGGTAGCTTGCCAGCTCTGCCGTGTCGGTAGCTTAACGGGCTCACCAAGAGGGATGAAGGCTTTTGGGGCAGCCTCTAATCACCTTTACAGGTATTCCCAGTCGGGCACATATGCGGGCATGATATTCTCAGTAGCCTGCTGGGTTCTCTGAGAGTGAGAACTAGAGAATAAGAGGTTGTGCAGCCGCGAATGCTTGGTTTTATAGTCTTGAGGGAGCTTGGTTTTTTGGTTTGGTTTGGTTTTTTAATTTTTATTAGTGAAACACCATAAGGTACAGTTGCAGACTTACAAATTGTTGTGTTTGGGTTTCAATTATACAATGTTCGAGGACCCATCCCTCTACCAGTGCCCGTTTCCCACCACCACTGAACCCAGTATCCCTCCCACCCCTCTTCCCCCCATCCCACCCTGCCTCTGTGGCAGGGCATTGAGGGAGCTTGGTCTTATAGTCTCTGGATCCTGGCTGTGGATGGGGTTACACGGCAGTTGTTTTATCAGTTACACACAGTGATTCAATTTAAAAAAAAAAGAAAGAAAGAAAGAAAGAAAGAAAGAAAGAAAGAAAGAAAGAAAAAAAAGATCAATGGGATAGATGTATTCCAATACTTAATTCTCAACAACCCTTTATTCTAACTTTTCTCAAGGGTAGGTTTTTATTCTTTGAGGAAAAGAAAGGAAAAAGGAAAGCAGCAGAGATTGTCTACCACTACTACACCCATTCAATGTGTAAGTTTTCGAAAATCCTTTAATGTCTTAGGAGAAATTTATGACAAAGAAATTACAATAAAAAATCACAATGATTATTTTGAGGCTTTAAAATCAGTTCATTTTTGAACTGGTGCAAATAAGATGCTTGCCTTACATGTGACTGATCCGGGTTTAATCCCTGGTGCCCTATACAGTTCCCTGAACCCCACTAGGAGTTACCCCTTAGCACAGAGCCAGGAATAAGTCCTGAGCAGCCCACCAAATGCCCCACCAAAATCATTTATTTTGGAAGATGTGCTTCTTCCAGAGAAAGAACAACCGACTTATATGTATAATTTTAGGTTAACCTGAGATTTTCTGTATGTGTTCCAACAAAATACTTGATAATATTTCAGTAAAAACCTTAATGAATAACAATTCCATTTAGACTGTCATTGATACAACAGATATTACCTGTACATCATAACCATCCCAGCCTTTGTTCTGACACTGTACAACTTTTGGGGTGTAAGAATCACATCCAGCAGTGCCCCCCACACATTTCAGCTGTGGGATAGGATCCAGCCGACGGGAGGTGGTATAGCGATCATCGTGGAGAGTAAGAGCTTTAATATCCCGCAGTAATATTCTGTCTGAAACAGTAAGAACAGAGGCAGCAGGTAGTAAATATCCTGTCAAATATAAAGATTCATTCTAATAAAACTCCTGTCACAGAAAATACTTTCAAAAGCAAGGGTAATTTAAAACACTTTCCCTAAGCTATTCCAGGACTGGAGAAATAGTACAAAGGGTAAAACACTTGCCCTGCACATAGCCAACCCTGATTCAGACCCAGCACCACAAATGGTTTCTCATTTGTGAATAGGAAGTGACCCATGGGCAGAATGAGGAGTAATTTCTGAGCACACTGTGTGTGCTGCATCCAACCCACCACCAAAAGCAAACCAAAAAAAGAGCTAGTCCAACAACATCCAAACCATCTGTACAAAATTCAGGCGGTTATACCTTTAAAGCCTCCTATCATTTCAAGGAAGTGTGTCCCAAACTGTTTGTGTAACATAAGTTCTACGTATTGTTTTGAAAACCCGGAATCAAAAAGTTCATTTACCTAAAACACTATATGACAAGATGAACAGTGAAATGAAACAGTAAAAAATGCACATGAATAGTCCGTAAGTACGTTTAATGACAAATGTTTGTCAACAGGTAGACAGAATGTATAAATTTTGGTCCATTAATACAGTGGAATATTTCACAGCTTGTTAAAATGTGGAGCTGAAGAAATCGTTACATAGGCACATGTTTTGTATGCAGAGACTCGGGGTTTGATCTGAAGACCATGGTTCCTGCTGGGGAGAAACCCCTGAGCAACGAGCCAGAAGAACACCCCCACGCACCCCACGTGTGGCTCAAAACAACAAAGTACAAAAATTATTACTGAGCCACTACAGAACCATAAACTCATAGGAATATCTTGCATAACTCAGTATTTTTCCTCTGCCAGGTCCTAGAGATCACTACACTTTGAATGGAACACGATATCCAAGCTGAAGCCCGAATTTTCCACTTTGATGGTATTACCAAAAACAGTCCCTTTGGAAGGGGATGAGTTTTAGAGGAAGTGAGGGGAGAGATATTCCATACCGGCATTAGTGCCCTTATGAGGAAGTGACCAGAGGCTGCCCTCCCCATCTGTCATGTGCGGACATCAGAAGACAGTCACCTGCAGACAGAAGCCCGTACCGTAAATTAGAATATTCTTCTAATTCAAAAGTGAATTAGTAAAGTGAACTTACTCACTTTCAGAACTCTGCGCAGCAAGTTGCCGGGCAAGCCTTCTGGCCTCTGCTATTTTGTCAAAGCAGCCCCAGCTCAGACAGGAACAAGACGGCCAGAGGCACCTCCTCCAGGCTACAACAAATCTACACCAAAACTGGGATTCATCTATACCCAGTTTCCCAGAGTGGGCCTCAGGGCGAGCTGAAATGAAATGACCCCAGGGGACAGTAGTGTTCTCAGTACAAAGCTGGGGTGGGGAGTGTCTCTATTCACTTACAAAAAGGTCGATTTCCAGGAGGCAGTAAGAAATATTTTCCTGAAAAGGCAGCAGGAAAAATAAATTTGGGAACCTCTGCACACGTGAGCCAACCTGAAACCCCAATGATCTAAGCTCTCACATCAGGGACAGAGGAGCTCCCACAGGGACTGAAGACACAGGGAAAGGGAGGGAGGAGATGTGTACCAAGCGTGCCACAAACCTACAACACTGGAAAGGAAAGGCAAAAAAAGACAGGGTCTTAACAGGCTCCATCTTGCTTGCAGACAAAGAGGCGAGAGATCAGGGATGAGGCTCTCACTCATAACTCTCCACAGTAACATAACCTGCGGGCACACCTCCTGAGGAGCGCTCGGGACCCTGGAGGCAGAAAGGTGATCATCAAAAGTGCTTTCTCCGGACAGCCAAACAGATCCTAACTTAGCGGCCATCCTGCAGACCTGAATGCAGGCAAGAAAGCCACAGCCCTGGGTGTCAGGGATAAAGGCACGCAGCTGGCATGCAGCTGATCTGGGTTTGATCCCTGACCACTGCCAGGTGTAGACCAAAAGGTCACACACATACCTACAGATTCTGGAAGCACACTGTGGACCTCCAAAAGCAGCCAGTTAGTCAGGGGTCCTTACTGTCTGCTGTGGTCGCCACCAGCCCCCGAGTAAACTCTGCCACAGCCAGAACTGTGACCTCGGCCTCCACTAATCTCACCCTGGCATGAGCTCACTAGCCTCCATCCATGGCTGAGGAACCAAGGCAGCCTCTTGGCTGCTGGACACGGGCAGCCTTGGATTCCTGGTCACTGCACAGGCCCTCTCAACCTTGTATACCGCGCAGCCCGGCACTCGCGGCTACACACCAGGTTCCGTCAGACACAGGCCCCAGCCGCCATCCAGGCTCATGTGGGACACCAGACCTAGTGGGGAGACAGAAGAACTCACCCACATTGATGACTCCAGACAACATCCACAAAGAACTCCTTACCCGACAGAGTTATGCAAGCCTCCTGAAGAAGTATCCTAAGGATACCGAATTATTAAGACAAAAGATCGATGGAGATACAAAAAAGATCAATGAAATAAAGCTCAAGGAAAAATCTGAAAAGAAATTATAGAGCTGTTCTTTAAGGGAAGGAATATGATTCTTTAAAAAATTAAAGAAGGGGCTGGAGCAACAGCACAATGGGTAGGGCGTTTGCCTTGCACGCAGCCAAAGCGAGTTCAATTCCCAGCATCCCAGATAGTCCCCTGAGCACCGCCAGGAGTAACTCCTGAGTGCAGAGTCGGGAGTAACCTCTGCATCGCCAGGTGAGACCCAAAAAGAAAAAAAAAAAAATTAAAGAATACACTAGCTGAACTAAAACGGGAAAAAATACGACACTGAGTTTTAACAGCAAAATGAAAGAAGCCCCAAAATCAAGAATTCAAGGGTAAAAATGTAAGAATCATCCAAAAAGACAAAAAATAATAAGCAAAAACAATGACAACGTTAAAGTTGCATAGGACCACACCAAAACGACAGCATTCGCATACCCTGGGCTCCAGAAGGCAGTAAAGGCAAAAAAAATTTTTGTTTGTTTTAGGTCACACCCACCTGTGTTCAGGGTTTACTCCTGGCTCTGTGTAAGGGACCACTCCTGACAGTACTTGGAGGACCGTATGCAGTGATGGGGATCAAACCTGGGTGGGCCACATGCAAGGCCTCACTATACTATCTCTTCACCCTCTCCACTGTTTTTTTGAAGGGGCAGAATTCTTATTTAATAAAATAATAGCCTAGAACTTCCCCAAGCTGAGGAGTCAAGACACCTAGATCCAGGAATCTCAAGGCTTCCAAACAATATAACCACAGGCAGACAGACAAAAGACACATTACCATTTAACTGGCAAACATGAAAGATAAACAGAGAATCCTAAAAGCAAAAAAAAGTCACACATAAGGGACCTACATAGAGCTATCAAAATTTGGGCCAGAACGATAGTACAGCAAGTAGGGCATTTGCCTTGCATGAGGCCAACCCAGGTTCAATCCCTGGCATCGCAAATGGTCCCCCAAGCACCACCGGAGTAACTTCTGAGTGCAGAGCCAGGGATAACCCCTGAGCATCACCAGGTGTGACACAAAAACAAAACAAAACAAAACTACCATAATTCTCCCGAGACTCCACAGATCCAAAGGGAATAACCTGATACATACAAAGCACTGAATGAAAAGACTATGGCCAAACACATTCTTCCCAGAAAGGTTAGAGTTCAGAATCTAAGGAGAACAAAGCACTTTTCAGACAAAAATAGCAGTTAAAAGAACTCATCAGGGCTGGAGCAATAGCACAGCGGGTAGGGCGTTTGCCTTGCATGCAGCCGACCGAGGTTCGATTCCCAGCATCCCATATGGTCCCCCAGCACCGCCAGGAGCAATTCCTGAGTGCATGAACCAGGAGTAACTCCTGTGCATTGCCCCAGGTGTGACCCCCCCCCCAAAAAAAATTCATCACTACCAAACCAAACCAGCCCTACCTAAAATCTGTACACAGCTTCTATAAAAGGAAAAGAAACCCCATTCAGAAACTGTAAAATTCCTAAACAATAGAAAATGTGGGACTCTGCTTCAAGTTGATCCTTGTTATGGTGATACTTGCTATCACCATTCTGCTAAGTTTAGGGGACTGTGAATTTCAGATATCGTATTTTTCAGTTTTAAAATGTGTATTTGGTTTTCATGAAATAGACCTTATCTCTCCACTGAGATTTCACCTATTCATTTATGACTAGCAAATCTTCCATTCCATTATTTAATACAAATATAAAGATGCTTGATATATTTTGCTCAACTTATCATTAGGCTCAAATCAGGAATGGGTTTATACACTGATTTTCTTTTGAGAATGGGTCACATTCTACGCTTTTGCTGGATTTTGGACTGGAATTCTCAAATATATTTTATTCTGAGTTTTCAGGTTCTATGTGTGGGTGGGGAAAGGGTACGTAAATCGGGGCCCAGAAATATAGTACAGTGGGTAGGGCACTTGCTTTGCACATGGCTATCCCAGGTTCAATCCCTGGCACCCCAAACAGTCCCCTGAGCCTCATCAGGGTGATCCCTGAGCACAGAGCCAGTAGTAAGCCCTGAACATCACCAGGTGTAGCACAAAAGTCAACAATCTATTTAACTAAACTAACTAAAGGCCCTCCCGTTGATCATCGATTTGCTCGAGCGGGCCCAGTAACGTCTCCATTGGAGACTTTGTTGTTACTGTGTCTGGCATATCGAATCTATTTATTAAATAAAAAACAATGGGTAAGTAATTAGATATCACCTCTTTTTTTATGGTAACAATTTGTTTTTCTTTAAAATATTTTTGAGGCTGGAATAATAGCACAGCAGGTAGGGCTGTTTGCCTTGCACACTGCCGACCGGGGTTCGATTCCCAGCATCCCATCTGGTCCCCTGAGCACTGCCAGGAGTAATTCCTGAGTGCAGAGCCAGGAGTAACCCCTGTGCATCGCCAGGTGTGACCCAAAAAGCAAAATATATATATAATTTAAGACTATTCTTCTAATTGATTGGCCATGCCTCTGCACT